TTTCCCTATTACATCCCATGTAGCCGTGAAGAATTCTTTAGGAAATCCATCTGGGCCTGGTGCTTTACTATTCGGCATACTGAATAAGACTGTTTTGATGTCATCCTCAGTTGGCAATCTTAGAATCTCTTCTGTTGTTTCAGTAGAGCAATTGTAATTCAACATCTCACGCAACCAATTTTTCGGAGGGCTTCTAGTGTTTGGGTCTCATCTGCCTAGTAGCTCAGTAAAGAACTCCACAGCATGTTCCTTGATCAATCCCACAGAATCCAATCTTTGCCCTTGCTGGTTCTCCAAGAAGTGAATGTGGTTGCTAGCAGTTCTTCCCTTAACCAATTTGTGGAAGTACCCCGTGTTTTTATCCCCCATTTGCAGCCATCTGACTCTCGACCTCTGTCTGTAAAAGGATTCTTCTGCAGCTGAAAGGATTGCCCATTCTTTCCGGATTGCTCGTTCTTCTAGAACTCGTTCCGCTGTTGGCGAGGTTAACAATATTTGTTGCGCTTGTTTAAGATTGCCAGCTTCTCTCTGAACTCGTTTCGATAGGTCACTGAAGTGGTCGCGGTTGAGTGAGCGTAGAGGGAACTTTATAGCCTGCAGCTTTTTACAGAGGCAGAATTGCTCTGTTCCACTCCATTCATTTATGTTCCAAGAATCACTGATAATCTGTGGAAACTCGGGATGCAAAGTTAGAAACTGATAGAATTTGAAGGGCCTTTTTACCTTTTCTTGGAGACTTGGTAGACGGAGGATGCATGGCGAGTGATCTGACGGCCCAGGTACTAAGAATTCAGCATAGACATCAGGGTATTTGTCATGCCATTCATCATTCCCCATGGCCCGATCCAATTTTTCCGCTAATGGTTATTGGCTGCTCCTATTGCACCATGTGTACAATAGCCCCCTGATGGGTATGTCTGAGATTGCCGAGGATACTAGGCAAGATTCAAGGTCAAACATTCCTTGTGTGTACTGTAGGACTGACGGGAAATCCGAACGTTCACTTGGGAATAGGATCTGGTTCAGGTCCCCCAAGACAATCCATGGCGTTTCTCTCACAGGCTGGTAGCATGAGATTCTTTCTATTTCAGCCCATAGTTGTTGCCTCTCAGTGCTGATGTTACTCGCATATACCATAGTTGCAGTGAATGATGTTGCTGAGCTTGGGTGCAGAATGCTACAGGTTATGGCTTGCTTCGAAACTTGATAAATATTGACAATTAACTCAGGATTCCAGACCAGCCAAATACGGTCTGACTGGTCAGCGTTGAAATTGCAAAATGACCTCCAACCATTTGGTATTGCTTGCTCAATCCTACTTCCATTTGGTTCTTGAATGTGTGTTTCCAAAATTCCACCGAGTAGCAGCTTATTGTCCAAAATCCACTTGCGCAAAAAATGTTGTTTAGTTCGGCTATTCAAGCCTCTAACATTCCAAACAAAAAACATGGGTTACCAATTTAAATCAACGACCTCTCGTGGCATTCCGGCCACGCTTTTTTGTTTTCCTCTTCCCGGAGGATGTTGATGCTTTCGATGGCGTTTGTCCAGGATTCTTGATGGTTATGGACTGGGTAGGTGGGGTGTCTAATGCTGGTTCATTTAATACCTCTTTCTGAGTTTGATTTTCAATTTCCAGGGCTGAGCGTTCCTCTTCCACTGCAGTAGGAGTAGTCAGGTCTGAGCTCTGGATTACCGGAAGGAACTGTAGAAGAAACCTCAGCTGCAGGTGGGTCTTGTGGTTGTGACATTACTTGCATTTCCTCTTCTATTTGTTGTGTTATAGAAGGTTCAGCAACTGCTATCGGCTGATCCGACGTGTCGAGGTTCTGTTCGCGTCTCGGTTTTGATGTTGTTGGCTGCTTACCCTTGCGCTGCTGAATTTGCCTCCAGATTGGCGCACTGGGTTCCTTCACAGCAGCTGGGTGCTTTGGGCAATGCTTGGCGTTGTGCCCAGTTTCCTTGCACGAACTACATTGCGGGGGTAGCCAGTCATAGGATACCTCAATAAATTGTTCTTCTCCATCAGGTAAATGCACAGCAATCCTGCTTGGGAGGGGGTAGAGAATCTGCACGTTTATGTACACTCGGGCAAGAGAGACATTATCCTTCTCCATAGTCGCTCGGTCTAAGTATAACGGCACTCCCAATCCTGTCGCAATACGGCTGATGCTGTCGGAGTTATAGAGCTGCTCCGGCAAATTCCGAAGAGAGACCCACGTGGGAACACTCGACATGGGCGGCTTGTCAGGCTTGTGGTAAGGATTCCATGCTGTAACGAACATCGGGCATTGCCCGATGTACCAGAACTGCCGAGAGAGAATCTGAGTTCTTGTTGTAGGGTTCTGAACCTTGAACAGGTAAGTGCCATTACCGACGTTTTGCACACGTATTCGTGGCCCGCCGCGTGACCAAAGGCCATTCACAACTCCGATAATACGGCCCATGGTAGGAGGCAATCCATAGAATTGCCCTATTAGGAAGTCCTTCCATTCTCCGACAGTCGAACTTATCGAATCTTCCGGAATCGTAATAAGCGGAATCCCTGAGGTGTGCGTAGCAGGGGTACCGATACGCTTCAGGTAACGGCTGTCCGAGAATAGATGCTTGCTCCATGTGGTTGTCTGAGGCATAGCTGGATCTGGGTCGTTCGCTGCGGCAACAAAATCGGTGGTCAGGCCGTCAGAGAGAGTGACGCCTGCCTTCCCGTCACTGAACAGAGAGCCGATTCGTTTTCCTTTCCCGCTCGCGGTGGATGGCGGACAGGAAAGGGAGCTATGACGATGTGGAGACGGAGAACGTAGCGCCTGGCGGTGTTGAAGAGAATGACTGATTCCCTGCTGCAGACTAGACTGCACAGGTAACGAGAGAGGAGCACGATGGCTGGAAGGAGAAGAAGATAGAGGTGAAGGTGGATTTAGGTTAGTGGTGAGAGGACTTGGTCCAAGAATACCAGGGGAGGGAGGGGCTGATGCAGATCTCAACCGTGGGGCCATGCTTTCTGGGTTTCTTTTCACTGGCCTGCAGTGGGCGGACCAGGGGTTTTTGACGGTTGTGCCGGCCGGCCGGTGGTGAGAAGAAGGAGTGAGCTAGGGTTTGGGAAGGAGAATTTGGTAAAGTTAGAGAGAGGTGAGAGGGTATGTCCGATCAGCAGTAGGGTTAACCGAAAACAAAGTTAACTTCCATAACATTGTTCTATAAAAAAATACTTAAATACAGAATTTGAGAAGAATTCATGAAGGTAATATTTTTTTTGATTTGTTTAATCGATTGGGTAATGAACGTCAAGGTTTCGGACTGGATAAATCGGAGTTGATTCCGATCCCTCATGGAAGAAAGCTTACGGACAATTGACGTCATAGCCAACGACCTTGATCAGGTACGTATCGAAGGAGGCTAGATCGACGCCGTAACCATCGACCACCTCATCGCCCGTGTCAACCTCCGCATCGTTCGATGGCCTGGTCCATGCGAACGACATCGACCGATGGACGATCCCGAGAAAATGAAGATTTACGTCGGGGAACAAAACTCTAGCTACATATAAATCGTGTTAAAAGTATTTTTTGTTTAAAAAAAACGTTTTTTAAAAGATCACCTGAAAACTATAAATATAGTAAACTATAAATTATAAAAAAAATATAGTTTTTACTGTTTTTTAGATATTTTTATAACTATTTTTGTTAAAGTTTATTTGGATTTGTAAAAAGTTAGAAATTTTCGATAGATATTTTTAATTTTTTTTTTGGGGTTTTGGATATTTTTAAAAGATTATAATTTATTTGAAGTTCCTGGTTTTTTTCCATGTTTTTCAATAAAAAAAGGTTTTTGGTTTTTACATTCCAACAAATAGAACAAATTCAATCCAATTGGAATATAGAACCCTAATTTCCAACCAGAAGAAAAAACAATGAAAGCTATTGCTTTTCCCTCTGTAATCGCAAGTCTCAGCTTCCCTCTTCGCCGCGGCTCACTCCTCTTCCGCTCGCCGGCGACGGCGACCTCAAAACCGTTGTTTTCTTCTTCTTTTTATTCCATTTCGTCTGCCTGTTGGTGGTTGAAGAGAGGAAGGGGAAGGAAAAGCATCGGAAGTAATATGTCTGATCCTTCTACTTGTGCATCGTCGTGTTCGTTATCGTCTGCGAATCCGGAGGTTCTGGTAGCCTCGACGAAGCAGAAGTCGCCACCGCCTCAGCAGCCCTGGCTCATTATCGGCCTTGGGAATCCCGGCAAGAAGTACAACGGCACGCGCCATAACGTCTCCTCTCTGTCTCTCTCCCCCTCTCTGCGTCTTTTCCTTTTTGGTTCGTTAAATTTGGGAGTATCCTTCTCGTTTTTGAAGGTTGGATTTGAGATGGTGGATGCCTTGGCTGAAGCAGAGGGGATTTCCGTGAACAGTGTTAACTTCAAGGCCTTTCTTGGGAAAGGTATTGTTTTTCACTCACTTGTGCTCTTCGAATTCGATCAATGTGTGAGTTTTCCTTTCCTGCACCACATCTGCTCTGATGGGTCTGTTCCCATTCTGACATATGGGCGAGCCCAATTCGGTTTTCAAGTTTAGGATAAACTTCTGCAAAAAAGCACGAATGTGAAAGGAGTCTGATAAATTGATCTCAGAAAGAGAAATTGATTTCTTAAGTACGGTCTAAGCAAGGCAACTCTTTGTTTGTTTTGTTGTTGTTGTTTGTTTGTTTTGTTGATAGTTCATGATGGTTTGACAGTTCCCCATGGTTAATAGGTTCTTGTTTCTTAAGATAGCTTCAACATATTCATATTTATATCCACCTTTATTCTGAAGTTATTGCCTCTGGTTTTGAAGAGTATTCCTGATTCTACTTGATAGGGAGGGATTGAGAAGTTCTTATTTTTATCTCTGTTTGCAACTTTGGGTGATTGGTTTTTTCAATAGGTATGATGGGGAATGTCCCTGTTATGCTGGCTAAACCTCAAACTTTCATGAATGCAAGTGGTGAGTCTGTAAGTGAGCTAAACAGAAAGAACTCTCCCCATAGAATTTACCAATCTTTCTGTTGTCTTGTGAATTTGATTCCTTCTTGATAATGATCGACGGAGTTCTTGTTATGACTGCAGGTCGGGCCGATTGTGTCGTATTACAAAATCCCGTTAAAACAAGTACTTGTGGTAATTTATGTTCTCTCACCCTTTGAGTTACATATTTAGGCAGCATATGCCATCTTTTAGATCTTGATGCGTCTTTGTCAGATTTATGATGATTTAGATTTGCCCTTTGCCAAAATGCGGTTGTTACCAAAAGGTGGTCATGGTGGGCACAACGGGTATATTCTGCTCCCTTTTACACACTCTGCATTTGCTATTGAAACTTAAGATGAATGTCTGCATCATCTCAGTTGTCTATCTTTTACCTGCAGGATGAGAAGCATAATAGATCACTTTAAAGGAAATCGTGATTTCCCACGTTTAAGAATAGGTACCAAAATTTTTTGTTATCTGCGTTGGGGAAGGCATGGATTGAGTACCCGAGTTTTTCGGGTTACGTGAACCCGACTTGTCTCTCACAAGATATTACTCAATCTCAGATCCGTTTTGGTCGGGTATCTCAGATAAATTTCGGGCTTGAATTTAAATACGAATTTTCAAAAAAATTTAAAATACTTATGAATTGATTCGGATTGGGTACTCTAAGTTTTTCGATTATCCAAACCAGAACATGAAATTTCGATAGGTTTGTGTGTAGTATCTTTGAATCTTAGGGGGGAAATGTCAATTTATTGTGTATTCAGGTAGGGCAGGTTATATCTTATATTGGATCTAATCAACCGAACCCGATTTTCGGGTTTTCCTCATGTTGATCCGATGTCATCTCATATAGTGCTCGGGTAACCAACCCGCAGATGGGTTCGGGTACCAAAATTCGGGGGGGGGGGCGGGGGGGGGGGGGTTTCCATCCCTAATCTGCAATGTGACATCCCGAGCTGCCCTTTTCTTCTTGATCTTCGGTATAATCACGTTTTTATTTTCCAGGGATCGGGCGACCTCCAGGGAAGATGGACACAGCTGCTTTTGTCCTGCGTCCTTTCAACAAACAAGAGCGGGAAGAGGTAGCGTGATAAATGCCAACATTCCGTCGGTTCTTTTCAGGAGAATAAATGTTAAGGCGTCCTTATTGTTCGTTGTTTTCAGTTGGACTTTACATTCCAAACCGGGTTGGAGGCGATACGGATCCTTTTGCTCGAAGGGTTCAATAAAAGTGCAACCTTTGTCAACTCCCGGAAATCGATAGAACAACTCGGTTAAGGAATTTCCCTTTGGAAGATTCATTCTTTTGATTCTAGCTCTGTCTTGGGTCGCATATTCTTTGAGGATACACGAGAACCTCACGAAAACACGTGTTGTGCCATCATAGTGTGCTTTTCATTTAATGTGAACAATAGAATTTAAGGATTTTTGTTTCACAGACTTTTGGACAATCCCATTTTTAAATGGAATAATTAGGGATGGGTATTTTGGTGAGGTTATTTTTCTCATGGTTGAGTTTTTTTTTGTGTTAAAATTATATCAATAGTTTTTTTTTTCTCTCGAGTTTCGTTTCAATTTTGACATATACTTCGGTTCGAATTCATGTTTTATAAAAAATATTATTTTAAAAAGATTGGGTTAATTAAAAAAATTCTAAACTTATTAAAATGTTCTATATAGAACTCAAAAATTTGTAGAAATAAATCCTGTCAAAAATTTTCACAAAATTAGAAATTTGTCATTATCTTTCATATAAAATTTTTTCTAACTTATTTGACCAAAATTACCAATGTGTGACCGACTCAACAACCACGTTAGCGCTACGTTATCAATTAAAAAAAATAAAATACATACACATATATACCCTATACAATACAATGCGATCCGAGTTTATAGATACGTAGATTCACAATCACCATGAGATCCTGAAGAGTGTCAATTGTTCGATTCACAAATCATAATTGGTCTCTCTAACAAAACGTTGTAATTAATCACGACGAATAGAATTCGAAGTGATCTAACCAAAGTCGGTAATAGCTGAACCAATGATCCTTTTGTCACGCGATATTATTTGTCGAACAAAATGTATGAAACCAATTACCTTATTAAATTCGACTACTTTCTCTTTTATGGATAGACTACAAGTAATAGATGACAATCATCTATAATGCAGTCACATATTTCAATATAATGTGGTCACATATTTCCACAGTCCTACTAATTCGAGGGATCTAGTGATATCTCTTTCGCTCTTAAAATGAACAAATCATATCTTGATTATCTACTACCTACACATGATTCATATTGTGTTTGAGCTACTCCTTTATAATCATCTTGTTATGCATGGCGTTTTACCACTGTTATACTATATGTTGTGACAAATGTGCAGAAATTCGGTGGAATCGGACATTGGTTTGACATGAACAGGATAGACAAACCGACACCGGAATCGGAGGAACGAAGACGAATCACATATCCGAAAAATTTTGGATACAGATGACGAATATGACAAAGGAGGTCCGACGCAAACATTTCTGATGACAACGATGATGTTGTTGACGACAGAAGTACGTTAAAGGTTTCTAAACCTTAATATGAAAAATAGTGATTTTAAAAATTAAAAAAAAAATAGACATTCAAGAACACTTCCTACAAAATACACTTATCGTAAACTCAACCAAACCAAACTAGCTATATGACGCAGTAAGACGAGGTCCTCCTGACGAACCGGCCTTTGATACGAGGCCTTTTCTCGGCATTGAGTTTCCTGACCTCGTACCTTATCTTCTTCGCGAACAACCTCCTTCTCCTCTTCTCTCTGTACCTCAACACCCTCGCTTCTCTCTCGCCGTCGGATCCTCCTCTCCCTTGCCGACGTGGCATTGATCCAACGGCTGGCGTCGCCTCTTCGGACCCGTCGATTACGAAGCCCTGCAACTAGAAACTTCCTTAGTTAGGAAAAAATCGTGTCTACAAATAACATCACTCTATAGTTACTCATACGACAGCATCTATATTAACATTCCAATCGATGAACTTTGGCATCTTTATTAACAACGTTGTCCAGTTTTGCCAATGTTTTACACCATCCCTTGACATTTTTGTGCAAAGATATGCAAATATTTTATTAATGGGATCAAATAGAATCTTGCATTTCGAGAATTTTGTTCAAAGTTTGTAACCATTTTGAATACACGAGAGAGACGGAGAGAGATACCAGGCAGTCCAGCCAAAAGTTGCTGGGACGGAAATCCGGGCAGCGACCGGTGGTCCATGGCGAGCATTCGCTGTCCCAAGCAATCATCACAGCTTCGTAATCTAACCGCAAAAACAAGCTCTGCTTCTTTGCCTTCTCATCCGCACATCTTTCTTCTTCTTCTCCTTCTTCTTCATAGTTATCCTCGCTTCTTAATCCTTTCTTACCATTCACGTCTTCTACTTCTTCTCTTTTTCCACCTGAAACTGAGGACCCGTTGTCCAAATTCCATCGACAAGTTTCTCCTAATCCCTCCTCTTCTTCCTCGTCTTTAACGGTCCTCAATGTCAAACCGATTTTCTCTTCATCTTCTTTGAATTCAAGAGCCCCTGGTTCCTTGATTCCCATGCAAGATTCCTCTCCGAGTAAGCTCTCAACGTCCATGGTGAGCTCGGCAAGATCCATATCGAAGGGCAAGAAGCCATTTAACCCATTCTCCATTTGTTCCTCCTCGTGACATCCTCCACCAATCTTGTCTGAATCCGGGGCAAAACCAAAGCTGTTTTCATCTTTGTTGATGTCGTTAGCTTCCATCTCCATGTCGGAGAAATCGAACACCGGAACCTGACAATTCAAATTCTCTTCGTTTTCGACCATCGAAGGAAATAAAAACAACTCTTCTTCACTTCCGAGCTCAGGGACAACAGGCTCGTTCGAATTGGAAGTGGAATTCAAATCCAAATCGAAATCCAAATCATCGTTCGCAATAGCATTAACGACCTTCTTCTTTTGAAGTGACCTCCTAAGCAATCTCCTCGGCGTCCTTGTTTTCCTCGTGAAACCTTCGTACCACACCAGTGTTCCGGCGTTCACTCCGGTCGATTTCTCGATCTGAGAATGTACGGAAGACGAGAAGGAGGACGAAGGTGACATGGAACACGTCCGGAGCCGTACACGCTCGTGCCTTATCGCCAATTGGTTCGCCGAGTGGATGGACGAGTCGCAGGTTTGGCACAGGAACGCGTCATCGGCTGCACAAAACCAATGTGCACGCCGACGCATGCACGCGTCGCAAGCACGTGCCGTCTTGCCTCCCATCACGTTCGCCGCTTGAGTCTCCATGACCATCCTTACACACACGCAGACGCAGAATCTTAGAGGGACGAGCAAAGATTGTTCCTGTGGTTTTGCAAAGAACACTCGAGCTCTGCGTGTGTGGCGTCTCGTGTTGATTTATATTTATTTGTGTCCCGAGCACATTTTTTTTATTATTCAGTTATGTTTTGGTCTTTGGAAATTATTTTTAGGAAATTGGGGCCTCAATTATTTGGAACTTTAAGAGAGAAACGTCAACAGCATTGGGCTATTGTCCCACCGTCGATTGCATGTGAGACTGAACATTTGTATAACTTTTAGTTTCTTTGGAATATGCACATATACATACATACATACATACATACATACATACATACATACATACATACATACATACATACATACATACATACATACATACATACATACATACATACATACATACATACATACATACATACATACATACATACATACATACATACATACATACATACATACATACATACATACATACATACATACATACATACATACATACATACATACATACATACATACATACATACATACATACATACATACATACATACATACATACATACATACATACATACATACACTCTTTACATATCTCACTTAGTTTTGTTGTGTATTGATAAAATTGGTAACTACTATTTTTTTGGGTTGAATGAACTTTCTAATTTAGGAAATACTAGTAGTAATATACTTATGTAAATTACATAATGAAATATTGGGTTTATTCTTTGGTATATAGAGAGAGATAAAGTTTTATTTAACCGACGGACCAATCTCTACAACTAAATAACTTGTTGGGAAATTTTGTCACTGGAATGTATGGTAATAGCAATACCATGAAACTTTCAAGTCTAAGAAAATATATAGCAACAAATGAATGACTTATTTTTATTACCATATTTAACCCTTTTTTTGTATAAGTTAAGAAAAATATATTATAGAAATTAATCTGTACCCTAAAATATTAACATCATCAACGATTTTCACATAAAAAACGAATATACATTATATTTACCGTGACGAGATACTATCGTTGAATATAATTACAATATATTTTTTAGCTATTTTTATTATACAAAATTATGCTGATTCATATGAATGCCTCCATAGACCAAATCCACCGTAATCAACAAGGCCAAAAATAATAACTTTGTTTTGTATATACGGGTGCCTGTCCATATAACAAAATAATTTAAAAAGAAAAAGAAAGTTTGTCGGATTATGAAATCAAGTGGGACCCATAAACGGTTTTCCTCCACTGTTCATTGGCTCAAAGCTTTTATGTCATCCAAAATCTTGCGTTCTTATTGGCTAATTGGCCTATGAGGATTCTTCAGTGGGCCCCCAGCTTTCGTTTTGATGGCATGAATTCGATAAATACCGTTCGTTACACATCATCGAAACGAATAAACATTATAAATGAAACAACGATTTTAATGATTTATTTTCTAAAATTAGTGGTTTTGGATGTTAGAATAAAACAATAAAATGAATTATAAACCGTTCCGATCTAATTTGATTAGCATATAGGTCCACACATAATTATTGAAAATAAATTTAAATTTTATAAAAGAATGATGAAATTGTTTCGATTTTGCTAATTTGTGACGTAATGACGATGTTATATGAGCCATTGATGTCTACAGTTTATATTAAAAACTCATAAACTGTTTGATTTCTTATGAGCAAGATAAGACATGTTAAAAACATCTACAAAAAATTTAAACTTCTAAGACCCACTATTTTGGTTATATATATATATATATACACACACACGATAATCCGACAAAGACCTAACAGCGGGGAATTAAAAATAGCAAGAGAAATTAAAATTACCCAATTTATTATTGTGGTTATAAAAACGGTTAGAAAATTTTGATTTCGTGGTGTGAGTGACCCATGAAATGGAGTTTAGTCGAAGTTGTGGGTTTGCAGATTCCAAAGATCGCAACGTCAAATATCAACCAGAAATCAGTCCAAAAACATACAAAAACATTTAATAAATTCCACACATCAAAACGAAAGATTCCCACTCATTTCCGTTACGTTGTTTTCTAACCAGAAGTATATTTTCTCGACCGTTTTGCACCATTATTTCTTTTTTTTTCCTAATTAAATTAAACAAAGGGGACGTGTTTGGTAGGGAAAATAATATCCAAGTTATACAAAATTTGCCTTTTTGAATAATAAATCTGTTAATGTCATTATGCAGGTGAATGTTGAGATGATCAACAATAAAGATTTTGTCTTTGAATGATTTTTATTTTGAATTTTTTGTTTTAGTTTTTGATTTTTGATTTTTAGTTTTTAGTTTGATAACCTTCTAAACCCAATTCGAGTTTGCTCTTTGCATTTGCACAAATGGGTTTCCTCGAGTACATATAGCAAGCGTAATCGTGGACTTGACTTTAACTTTTACGCATTTGCACATCGTCTTCAGAGAAATCTCCTCTCTTCGCCCACATACAATGAAGAATGTACCATGAGTTTGTAGAAGTTATTGTTGGATTTGGTTTATTTGATAGAATCAAAACGGGCCTAGCCTGTGAGAAGTCCGTTCCGTGAAAAGTTCTAGAAACTTTAATAAAATCTGCAGAATATTGAGAGGATATTCTTGATTGATTTTGAAATTCAAATTGGATTCAAATCTACAGAAAATCTATCAAATATGATTGAGATAAAATTGAAATAATATCAAAATAAAATCAAATTTGAATTTTGAAAATCAAATTGATTTTATTTTGAGATTCTCCCCTCTATTATAAATAGGGGTCTTGGGTTAGCTCATAAAATACAGAGAAAAAAAAAACAAGCATTCTAGAGAAAAAAAATGAGCATTCACATATTTGCTCATATATCTCTCTGGGTTCGCTTGGTATTTGGAAAACTTCTTCCAAATACGCGGTCGTTGTATCCTGGGAGTTCACCGTGCTCCAGTAGCCTCGAAGCTTTAGAGGTGGCACGAAAATCGAACTTAAAGAAGTGTTTCACATACCTCGACAAAATAATCTTTTAATTTCAAGTACTTATCTGGAATCGCTCGAATTGCCGGAGTTTTACCGTCGTCAACAACTGTCGTCCCCAACAATCTTAAGTTCGAATATGGTTAACACGATGCAAACTTCTCGGGTAAGTGCCTAAATCTTCTTTTAATTTCGGTATAAAACCTCACACGAATTTGGATCTAAAAAAATAACTAGGTTAAAAAGGAAAAAAATGTTTGGAAAAAAAAACCAAATAGTTGTTTTGTTGTCCAAATATTAATGAGTCTAAGCCCAATTGAATTTAAGGCCCAAATTTAATATTAAATATTAGTCCAATTAAATTTCAAAAGTTCAGCCCATTTGAAGCCTAAATTAAATTCAAAGAGATTAATTGAAAAGCCCAAAAGAGTAAACCCGAATTGAAAAGTTTTGTTTTAGCCCAATTTAAAGAGATTAGTCTAAAAACCCATAAGAGAAAGCCAAATATCTTTTAGTTAAAAGTGTTTTGTGGAAAAAAAATTAGAATATTATTTTTTGAGAAAAAAAAAGGTTAAACAAAATCGGACGTAACTTTTTCTGTAAATTGGGGAAGCAAACTTTGTCTTAGCGGGTCGGGTTTGAAGAGGAAGCCCTTTATACCCTCTTCATAGTAAGGACGTGGGAATCAGGGTGAACCCTCCGGCTATCACTAGAAGCGAGCCAAACCAATTTATAAGTTAAGTGAAACTTGGTTTAGTTTATAAGCTTTGTGAAAGCTAACAATGATTGGATTTATTCCACAGACCATTGATAATTCAAGAAATCCCATGGATTCAAATACTGCTCTAGGGAATGAGATTCCTGCTATGGACATCAATGAGAATCCTCATATAGCGGAGGTTACTAACCCGTTAATCATGCTGCTGCTGGCACAAATATGAATAATCAAGTGCCAAACGTTGTGAACGTTGTTGTCCCACCAGGAATACCTTCGGTTGTTGCGAACTCCGAAAACCAGGCAATTCCTATTGTGCCAATCGGCCCGGCTGAGAGACCTGAACAATTTAAGGGTCAAAATTTCAAACACTGGCAATAAAAGGTGTTGTTTTTCTTAACACAACTTAAGTTGTCACGGTACCTCACTAAAGAGGAACCAATCCCAGAGGAGGATAATGCCCAATCTCTAGCTAGTTTCTAACAATGGAAACATAACAGTTTCATGTGTTGGAACTTTGTACTGAATGGTTTGGATGTTCGCTGTATGGTGTTTTCTCCAAATATGTTACGGCAAAGCAACTCTGGGAAGCGATTGATCATAAGTAGCGGGTCGAAGAGGCTAGCCAAGGGCGAATGGTGGTAGCCAAGCTCCTAAACTACCGTATGGTAGATACAAGGAGTGTTGTGGAATAAGTAGATGAATTGCAAATCATCTTCCACAACTTGGCGGGAGAAGACATCATGGTAAATGAACGGTTCCAGATGGCAACTCTGATTGAAAAATTGCCTCCATCCTGGACAAGTTTCAAGAATGGCCTGAGGCAAAAACCTAAGGACATGTCTTTGAAAGATTTACATCGTCGTGTAAGAATTCGGCAGGAGTCTCAACCTATTCTTAAAATGAATGGGCAGTTTGGATCCAAGGCAAATTTCGTTACGACTAAGGTCAAAGAGATTAAAAAGCGGAAGATTGATAAGAATGTCAACTCCAAGAAATTCAAGGGAATTGCTACGTTTGTAGAAAGGCTGGACATCTGGCGAAAGATTGCTACCATCGCAAGGAAAGTGTCCAGAACAAAATTGGGAATAAGACCCAAGCTCATGTAGCTGAAGTAGAAGATGGGGAGTCTGAATTCGTAGCAGTTGTGTCAGAAGCGGACATGGTCGGAGATAATCCAAGAGAATGGTGGATAGACACTGGAGCAACCCGCCATATTTGTGCTAACAAATGGATGTTCACCACCTATGACACTGTCACCAGAGAAAGATGCTATATGGGAAACTCTGCTGCATCCAAAGTAGAAGGCAAGGGTTCAGTCATTTTGAAGATGACTTCTGGAAAGAAGTTGACACTCACTGAGGTTCTTCATATGCCAGACATTCGCAAGAACCTGCTTTCTGGATCTGTGATGTCAAAGAAAGGCTTTAAGCTAGTTTTTGAATCTGAGAGAGTTGTAATGCAAAAGAT